TCCTTTAAGATGGTCGATGCAAAGGTCTCTCTGGTGCTTTAATATCATTACTGCAGCAATTTCCAAGTGCTGAAGTCGAGTCCACATAGTTTTGTATTATATTAGGAAGGATATGAACAAAAGTTGTACGTTTTTCTGTTTCTTTACCTCGGAGTGTAGCTGGCAGCATAACGAGGCTGCTGCCTGGAGCTGCTGTAGACAGAAAAGGTCCTTTTGCTTGAGTCGCTACTGTGAGCCTTCCTCACGCCTTCTTCATACAACAGACCCACCTGTTGAGCAGGACGTTCACAGATCACTTTCAGAAAGAAGCAGATCCAGTACCACACAGTCTGTTCTTCAAAGTGATACCTGCACATCGATCGAGGTGGTGTCCTCCACTACCCTCTTCATCACAGCTCGGACGTTTCTGGGCTCAATGGTGTTGACCCAGTCTCTAGTTTCAACACTCTTTCTTAACATTTGGGAGATGATCAGCCCCTGAACCTGGAAAAAAAAGGAAAAAAAAGATAAAAATCTCTGACATATGCTGCCCTCTTGATACTGTGTTGTTTCTTTTAATGGGAAAATACCTTGACGTAATGGTTGAGTAGTTTTTGCGCTGCTTCCCTTGCTTCTCCACATAACGTCGTAACTGGCGTTATGGGATTTTGGTGCTTAAAAAGAAATGCCTGTTTATTAACACTCTGAAAACAGCTGCAGTTTTTCTAAAATGTCTTTACAAGCCTTGAGCTACAGTGAAATGTTACGCAGTCATACCCATCAAAGGGGTGCTCTAATACCTGGACGAGGAACTGTTCATCTGTAAGCGTCAGTATGTAGGAGATGGTGGACGTCTCGAAGTCCAAGCAGAGGCGCGACAGCAGCAGCAAAAGAGCCGGGGGAGTCGATCCTCCTTTGTCTCCTGCGCTTTCACAGAACTGTCGAGAAGACTGGCACACAAACCTGATGAAGTTCACCACCAGGTTCTCTCGGACACCCTGGCTACAAAACTCCCCCTGTGAAGATAACAGAGAAACACAAAATTAGGTAAAAAAAAAAATTACATTTAGCTTCTCACATAAAAGAACAGGATATTTACCTTGAAGTAAGGCTTGTTGGAGAACGTAATGTCCTTGGCGGTGAAGAGATGCACCGATGCCAAAACCGACTTAATCTGGTTTAGAATAGAAGCCGATAAGGATGAGAGAAGCTCTGGGAGGCTGTTTGGAGCGTCTCTGCCAGAGGCCGCCCCCCCTAGATGAGCTCCCCCTCCAGCCACAGAGGCTGCGGCCACAGAGAGTCGAGGCGTTGCCAGGGCCTGACGGACGTCTGTTAGGCTGTCCATGTAGAAGCTCTGCAGCGCGGTGAGGTACTGCTTCACTCGCTCCGTTGCAGCTCTTATCACAATTTCTGTCCCCTGGTTCGGAACGGTGGAGCCTGGCAGCAGTTTGGACACAGCCTGAAGCCTGCGGTGGAAGCGGTCGAGCGCACGGACCAGGAGGGAATTATCACTGACTCCTTTCTCCTCTTGGATCCTCCTCTCCACAAGCGAGAAATAACGAGCTGCCAGATCATCCACGAAGGCCTTCAGCTTGTTATTTGCCATCTGTGGAATATTCTTCGAAGCTAGCTCCCCCGTCTGAGCGTGGTTGATGAACAGCTCTTGATAGGAAGTGATCACCAAACATAAACTGCTAACAAATTCATTGCAGCCTCTGTCTATGAACTCCAGAATGTCTGTGTTTGGGGTAGGGGAAGGTAGGGAGAGCATTTTGGGAGAGTCCTTCGGAGATCCCAGAGCTGCAGTGGATGGTGACCTGCATGTAGCAGCCTCTTTGACAGCTGGGATCGGCAGGTGGGGTTTAATCTCTGCTTCCAGTCCCTGCAGGTCCTGCTCCAGCCGAGACCGTGCGTGGCTCAGGAACTTCTCACAGAGCTCCTCTGCTGGCTCGTCCAGCTGCAGAAGGAGCTCCACACACTCGGACAGGTCTTTGGCGCTTGTCCCACCATCTCTAAAAAAAGAAAAACACAAAAACATGTTAATACATTCTAGCTGACCTCCAACATCAGCATGATCTCATCAATTTGACGCTGTTCCCGTTGTGTGCTAATAGAGCCAGAAGAAGAAGTCAACAGGAGCTAGGTTAATACAGCGACTGCGAAGTTTAGAGAAATCTCCTTCTTTCCTTTTTATGCAGGCCGAGCGCCTCCAGGCGCATATCTGCCCCCCTCAAGACACTGGCTTGTGACATTTCATGGGCATTACGCTGCCATGCGTTATGTCTAAGTTAGGCTGTCGTTCCACATAAGTTCTGGACTCGTTATGAATACTTTATGTATATGTTAAAAATTGAAAAAAATACAAAGTTTAGTGTATACCCGATCCTAGAACATCAGGATCAGGTATGACAGCACCATTAGAAGCTGTGACCTCACATCAATACAACACTGACTGACAACTCCTGCCTTTAATCAATACATGTGCTGAGAACTGTCGATTTTACTGATGTACTGATTTTACTAACATTGTTTACGTTTTTTCACGCAAAAATCCTGGGATCATACAGTCCTGCCAGGTTTTTTTTTCTTTTAGTAGTGTAACACCTGTTTAAAGAGACATTATGTGAAATTTAACTGAAAAAAAAGCCTTTTTTATTTGACCCTCATTCTGCAAGGAACATCATATCTGATTGAGAAGAAGAAACATCATTCCAGTATTCTTCTAATGGGCTTTGTGTGAGCTTGAAAGACTCCCACCTGAACTTCTGCCGAAGCTCCTGAGCCAGTTTCTCCATAATGGCGTTACAGTCGTCCTGAATCCCCTTGAAGGAGGGAAGGTGGCTGTACTGCTGCAGCACGCAGCGAGCACGCCGGTGGGAGCTCACTGCCTGAGCATACGCCTGCAGCTCCAGACACTTATTCAACCTGGCAGGCAACTCAAACAGAAACTGAAGCTTCCTCAGCAGAGTGTGGACGCCTGGCGGGAAAAAAACAAAACAAGGCAGAACTATGAAAACAATTGTCCTAAAGGTCTTCGACGGTACAAATGAAAATAAAACGCAAGATCATACCTGAAAGTTTTGTGATCTGTGCGTGTTGGTCCTGAAGGGTGCCACTGATAGAGGCGCTAAAGTCTGTGATGGCGGCCATGTTTGCAGACAAGCAATCCATTTCATCCTCCATCTTTTTGAAATCATTCTTCATTTTTCTAATGGTGTCTAATGAAACAAGGAGAAATAAAACACAAACCATCGTTACAAACTGGGTCACGGTACACCTGCAAGCTTCAGTGGGATTTGTGGATTAATGAAGACAAAGTAGCTGGATGGAATTTAAAAAGTGGAAGAAAAATGCTACAGTATAATTTAAACCAATTGGGACATTGGGAAAAAGTATTTATGATGTTATTTATGTCAGGAAATGGAGAAAATAAGTAGATTCATTATGCAGAATTAAAATTATCTAAACCTTTATCTCTTAAATATTAAAGTACAACATACTATTGATAAGAAAAAGTTTTTTTTTCTATTTACCTAAGATACAGTAAAAAATAATTGCAAAAAAATATATATATATATGGTTCAGAGCAGACTAGTTTGCTTGTGGTGACCAAACCATGGTGATTGGACCCCTTTTGATCCCTCAAGTCCTGCTGGAACATGAAATGAATATCTCTATAAAGCTTGTCTGCAGAGGTAAGAATGAAATGCTCTAATATTCATGGGCAATTGGCTGTGTTGAACTGTCAATTTCAGATAAAAAAGTGGACCATAGCCTCCCCAACCCTTCTAATAACTGAATGTGGAATTTGACTTCAACTAATGGGGATTCTGATCCTCTTTACTTTTCCTCCAGATTCTGGCACCTTGATTTCCAAATAAAATGTAAACTTAACTTCCATCTGAAACAGGAAATTGGATCACTGAGCAATAGTCCAATTCTTTCCCTCAACCTTCAATGCATATATGTAAACACAGAACTCTGATTAGTTGATCAGCGCGACTCCATGAGTTTCCAATATTTAACTTTATATGCATGGGTCTACTAGAAATTTTCAAGACACTGGGTGTTTCCGTTGTCTGTAAAAAGGATTGTGCATTGTGCATATAAATAACAAGAAATAAAAGCTTGACATTTTTCTCTATGTCTAAGTTTTAAAACAAATGGCAATAAATATTGACGTTTTACACTATATTCTATTTTAACTGTAGTCAGAGAGCCATTAGGAAAAATAGGGGGGTTTGATGAAAACATAAGAATGACTCAAAATGTGACGAAAACTAATGGCGTAACGACAATGGGCCTGTAAGCAACATTATCTGGGTGGGCCCCAAATGAAGTACAGGGCCTCGACGTGCCCCATACATACACACCTCATCATTCTTCACCTTCACTAGACATGGATATACTTTCACATATTCTGCTGTACAATGAGTCTTATCAGTCTACCTTGAGTTTCACAGCCCCCCTCCTCACCCACGCTCTCTCCATTCACCTCCTGCTCGCAATCTTCACTCACTGTAGCAGCAACATCCACCTCTCCCTCTTCGGTTCTTTGAAAGAACCTGTTATTTTGGGAAGTTTTTTCCGTTCTTCCAGCAGCTCTTCTTTCCTTTTTCTTTTCTGGAATCTGCTTAAGTACCTCTTTTTGGTATCCATCGTCGCTAACACATTGTAGATAACGGTTATGCTTTTAACCTACGCTCTGGATTACCCATAATCCCAAGAACTCAAATACATCATTCTTTTAAGATCTTTATTGTGGTTTGAATCATATTATATGAGTGTATCTTTTACCAACTGTCTAATGAACTATACACAGTTATTAGCATGGTGATTGAATGTACCACTGTCTGCTTTGCTATTGGTGTCGTGTTTAAACAGCTCACATCCTGATGAAATCTGCCATGTGTTGGGGTATAAATAAGATCCGGTCAGTCAATCTAGTATCAGGGTTTAAGAGGAATTTTTCGCACCTTTACATCTGCAAGGAGACGTCCTAGTCCACAATTGCGTAGGGGGCCTACCAGGTAAGGTAAGGCAAGGCAAGGCAAGGCAAATGTATTTGTATAGCACAATTCAGTACAAAGACAATGCAAAGTGCTTTACACGATTAAAATACAGGAAGAAAAAACAGAATCAAAGCAAGTAGGAAAAAAAAATAAAATAAAAAATGCAGAAACAAAAAAAGAATATTAAAAACAGTTGGAAGTTTTTGTTTTTAGGTGTCAGTGACGGGGCCCCTAAGCAACTGCAGTCTCTGTTTACCGATAGTTATGCCATTGATTAAAACATTTGCTTTATAACAAGAAGCACTACTTTGTTTTGGTCTCTTGCATAAAATGCTGGTAGAATATATTGAAGCTTGCTTTGTTTTTAAATCACAACAAAGTATGGAGAAGATGAAGACCTGTGGAAATATTTGCAAGCTCCTGCATGGATGCTATCCTTACCTGTAGCAGATATGAACTTGTTGTAGTTTTCATAGACCAGAGTCTGCATGTCACTGTCCAGAGAGCGGATCTGCTTCACCATGCAGGTCTCATGGTCCATCAGCTCACCCAGGGAGCACTCTCTTCTCAGCTGGAAGTTCATAAAGAGAAAGTGTAAAAACAATTCATATGGCACCAACACAAATAAATCCTTCATATATATGGGAGGTGACACAGAGCCACCAGGAGGGCAGGGGCGGAGCTAGATGGGGGGCCAGGGGTGACCATGGCCACCCTTAGCCAATCTGTGGCCACCCCTACTATTTGTTTTTCTTCTAATACAGATGGTGGCAGCAGTAATTCTCTCAAGTGGAATATTCGAAACGTTTTAATTTTTCATATATTAACATTTACTTGACAATAAAAATACTGTGGTTAATTATGCACATCAATATTCTATTGTACATTAAATATGATAAATAGAGAATTCATTCTATTTTCAGAACTAGATTTTGTGTTATATGGGGTAAAAAGAAAATGATGTGTCTCTGCAAGTCTTCTAGAAGTTTTCAATGAAATCAGAGATAAAAAGCTATTTTAATAAAACGTATTAAATAATCAATTTATGCTGATATTAACCCTTGTAAATATCAATTTTATGCAGAATGATTATTGATAAAAGTAGGTAAGTGATGACAATGGAAAAGATGTTCCCTATACCTTTCATCTTGACAGATGTTTAAGAATACAGTATGTGTCCATTTGTTAGCAAAGGCTGTAGGAAAGTATAATTCAGTTTTAATTAAATTCCGTTCATTTCTATTGCCCCAGTTCACAACTCATGTCATCTCAAGGCACTTTACAGTTCAGATCATACCAAATAATCATCAAATTGAAAAAAATAAGGTATAGCTTGTGCCACCCTTATAAACATTTTCTGGCTACGCCTCTGCTGGAGGGCAGACTTTATAATCATTTTATTTCTTGTGCTTTTACAATAATAACTGACAGAACTGTCATATCAACTACAGTAAAATAACAGGGTGACTTTAGACTGCTGTGGTGCTCTAGATGTTCAGCAGACAGCACCTTGTTGAGGTAGAGCTCCGGGTCGAAATGCGGGCCGTTGATGTCGCAGGGATCCAGGGACTGCGGCTGCTCCGGGGCCTTTCCTTCCTCGTTTAGCCCGTAGTAAAGCTTCAGCATGCCGTGAACCTTCCGCCTCCTCCCGGACTCGTCCAACATCGAGCCTTCAGGGTCCATACTGAAGTCCGACCAGCTGACAAGAAGGACAAAGAGAAACAAAGACTTGACAGCTCAAAAACACGGCCTGAAAATGTAACTCCTCGGTTCAAAAGGAATAATTATGTACTTATCCTAAATAACAACACTATCTACTGAAAATATGCCATAAAGGTATTGTCGTTTGGAATGAATAGCAGTTTTTTTGGAGTCTTTGTTGTTTCCGCATTTGTAGCCAATCACATTTTACGTTCTCATAGCGTTTACGTAAACGGATACTCTACTGCGCATGTCAGCGCTCATAGGATTTAAAGGGCCAGTTCATTTCTTTGGACATAATTCATAATGCTGACAGGAAAAACAAACGGCAACACAATGTCAGTTCAAAATCCAATACGATATTAACTAATTGCATGAATAGTGGCACTGATCAGGATAAATCCAATTGCAGCAATTTAAAGACCGTAAATTCTGTTTTACAGAACATTTGAAGTCCTAATATTAGATTAGATTAGAACAGATTAGATTAGAAGAGCTTTATTGATCTCACAGCGGAGAAATTCACTCGTCACATATTGGCATAGAAGTTACAGAAGGTGCAAACGGGGAGGAAAAAGATGCATTAGGAATAAGCAATATATATATATACAGTATATACAGTATATCAAAATAGGATTAAGGTGCAATGTTTAGTTCAGACATCCCCAAACTCGGTCCTCAAGGCCCCCTGTCCTGCAGGTTTTAGAGGTTTATAATGATCTAATGACACTGTATTACTACCATACTTGCTCCAGTGCTGACCTGCCATGGCCACACAGTCCTGTTGTAAACTATTTTTTCTTATGTAAGGTTTGACACTGGAAATAATTCTACATAAATATAGAATTTGCAAAGTCGTTGTCCATACTTTGCCTTCCACTCAGTGTCGCATTGTCTTCCATAGAGCACTTTGCGGACACATTCCCTCCTTCTGGAAGGTCTCAAAGACTGAATGTTATACTACCGTCAGCTCTGCAGTCTGCCCTATGATTGTTCCAACACATTTCTGTATTAAAATCTCCATATTTGTCTTCTGTAATAAGTCACTATTGAAAGTGAGAACCTGTGTCTCAATGAGATTTACCTTTTTATAGCTTTATGGAGTGACCTAGTGGGTTAGAGCAGTGCGCTTGGGCTCTGATAAGGTTACAAGTACCCGATTCAATCCCCCCCAGCCTTCACTCTGGGTCCCTGAGCAAAGACCCTTAACCCCCGATTGCTCCCCCCCAGTGCCACACAATGGCAGCCCACTGCTCCCCAATGGGATGGGTTACATGCAGAGAATTAATTTCCCCATTGTGGGACAAGGAAGGGATTTACATGCACCTTTAAGCCATAATAGCTAACAGAATTAAACTTCTCAAAATTAAAGTTATGATTTTCTACTTTGATTATTGTACTAAAAAAACTTTCTAATAATTGAGATGAACCACCACACAATTAGGAACAGAACTGAACAAATAGTAGCATCAGGTTAATGAGAATTACCGGTAGTGGTAGTGTATACTTGTAAGCTAAAAGCGATGTATATCAAAGTTTCATGCAAACACTAAAAGAACATGATCACCAGACTAAAAGTATGCATGAGTACAAAAAGAGACAGGATACTAACTCTAAGAAGTATGACAAAAGTTTTACATTATATTACATTGCTTTGTTGAACAGCAGCCATATTGGATGTTGAAAGAGCAGACGAGAAACCTCCAATCTTCCCACTTGGAGTTCAGACTTCAAGGATTCTTCTTATTTATTTTTATGGACGTTTCATTTTTTTCCCTTCTCACAGAACACAACAAACAGAAGCTCCTCACCTGTTTCACCATTTAATGTCTTCATAGTTGGTCAGTTTTCAAATCAGAGTAAATAAAGGAGCATTTGAAAGAATATAGAAGTACTTAGGAAATCTTAACCCTTTGCATTATTTTATACACATTAAACATAAATATTTTACAACATTTTATTAACATATGTAGTATAAATAATGAGCATGTTTAAAGTTAAATGTAAAGCAAAACTAAGTGGGATGTTTGGTTAAAAAAAACAAAAAACAAAACCAACACTAGTGATAAAAGAGGTTTAAGAATAAAGTTCTGACCGTGCATCAAGCTGGTTCAAATGGATATGGCTTCAATATAAAGTACACAGTTTGTAGTTGTAGTAAGCACAATTTTCCAACACGTTACTTTATTTTACTTTTTTTTTTTAAAGACAGCAGAACTGACTGCCAACAAGACAACATCAGTAGGAAAGTTAACATACAAACCATTTTTGTTCCTGATTTCCAAGGATAAAAACAGGCAATCAGATACCAACTCAGTTAAAAAAAGGCACTTCTGCTTCTGCAAAGCGACTGCTTTGTATCTAACTAGACCTAATTCTTCATTCACTTTTAATTATTTTATCATACAAAGACAAACATACGAAGATGGAAGTGAAGGTATTCAACCATATTAGCAACCCAACTAAAACAGTCAGTAGATTGAAACATGTTTAGAAAGACTATGTTAGTATTAGTGCAACATTACATTAGGTTGTTGGAATGAAATTTTCTAAAATGCGTCATGCATAGTGTATGCTAGCAACAGTGACTTGGGACTGCTAAGGGTTACAGACAGTAGCTGAGATACAATCAGGAGCTCAAAATAAAAAAATTCAGGTTAGAAGAGGAGGAAGAATATGGCAGGCTATAACTTATTAAATGGGGCCGTATTTCATGAGGACTGTTTATTACATAGAAAACACAGATTTTGGGGAGTGAGGTCAGGCAGATTTGGTTTGATGTGAAAAGACATATATACAGTACAGTCTTATGCACCATTTACACAGAAGTTAGAGATGCTTTCTTATATAAAAAAAAATCTGCAGACGTTTTTCAATATTACATTATCTAAATCCACCAGTGCCTCACTGATGGACAGCACTAAAGGATGGAATGTAGAAATTTTTTTTGTAAAGCTGAAAAAGTTCTCTTAGTTTGCTATTGCTTAATCTCCCTTTAAATCTAATCAATCTTTACCATAAGAAAGTTTAATCAGGTTAAATGAGTTGACATTTTACAAGAGGCACAGGTATAAACTTGCAGGATTTTTACTTTCGTTTTGCCTGTCAGGACAGACCAAATAAATAATACCAAAGATTTATCTTCAAACGTTCTCTCCAACTAAACAGAGATGCATGGCCTTTCAAAAGCATACTCCATCCAATGTTTTACATTTGATCACATTAAAACACAAATGTCAGAGTTTTTTAATGGGATTTGGTGTGACAGAAAGAAAACTAGAGCACACTTGTGAGGTGTTAGATAAAGGACACATAGGAACTAAAATCTAACACTGTTCCTGGACACAACAGTTAAACATGATGGTGGCAGCATCATGCATTTGTTATGGTGGAGAAAGGAAGCTGGATAAACATGAGGAAAAGCTTTTAGAGGCTGCAGAAGACTGGAAACTGATTAGAAAGTTGGTGTTGACCACAAATATACAGCCAGAGACACGAGTAAGAATTTATATTAAAGCATACTTATATGTTAAAAAAAAGTAGGTAAAATCTGGATCTAAATCGAATTGAGAAGGTTTGGAAAAACTTACATTTCTGTTCCCACATGCCATTCATCCAGGCTGGTTCAGCTGCTAAACTGAAGTCACAGCAAAAACGTCTTATTCTACAGAAGATGTGCAGAATCTGGTAGACGCATGCCGACAAACACCACTTTACAGTTATCAAATACTTTATGTTGGCCTATTACGTAAGCGACTAATTAAATACAGTTAAGTTTTTGTTTGAAATGTGCAAAATAAGTAAAAAAGATGACTGGGTGAGGATGCTTTTGTAAGGCACAGCACCGTACTGTTAGCTGTCTTTTTACTAAAGTATTTAGCACTTGATTTTATTACAAGTCTTTGAGTAAAATATGAGCAAATAGGCGTATAAAACTAACAAATGATATGAAATATAAATGTACTCACAAGAAACCTCCGCAGCACAGAAAATGTGCTGCCATAACAAATAACCCTTTATGTTTCTACCAGTACTTCTCTTACTTGACCTCCGCCTTGATCATGAGAAAAATGCACTGGTAGTGTGAAAAAAAAAAACAACAGAAGGGTGTCATTAGAACCTAGAACCGCCCCCGCCTCAAAAGTGTTTGTCATGCTGACTGAGGGGAAGCTGTAACACCGATGTTCATCAGGACAAAATGCAACATTCTTGACGTAAGCTAAAAAAAGAAAGAGGTACTGTGGTAGTTTATGCTCCTTTGAGGTGTTGCACTCTGCAGAAAAGCTCAGAAACATATTCTTAGTTTCCTTGGGGCTCGTCTCCATTGAAGAGGGTTTGAAGGAAGTGGAAGGACTTCTGCCTTGCAGCAAATTCAGTTCAATCTTTGCAGGTTTAGTTTGAAGAAAGATCTTGTTTCTCGCCTTAATAAACTTTTTAGTGTACACAAATTCAAAGGTAGATATACTCACACATAGATACCGCTTACTTGGTCCTTAGTTTGCTCAGAGAGTGTTTAAAAAAAAAAACCTTGAGTCCTTTGTATGCAAGTTTCATTTTCCACGTTTGAATCTCAGTGTGAAAATGTTCAGGTTTGGTCACTGAGGGAGCGATGCAGAGACGTTTAGCCCTGCTCCAGGCTCTCTGTTTGCACAGCAGAGTAGGTGGCCACTGGGGCTTGTCGAGCAAAGAATGAGGCAGCTCTTTTTGGCTTCAAGCGCTTGATTTCTTTACCTAAAAAAAAAAAAAATGGAAGCTTGAATCGACCCTTTGGGTTTTTTTTTTTTCTTTTTTAAGATCTTTTCTGGCGCTCACCATTATCCACGTAGCTGATGGTGTTCAGGGAGTGGACCCGGCTGCACACCACGCTGCCCTGCCTCTGCAGCATCCCGCGCCTTCCTCCGCGGCCGTTCCTGGTGCTGGATTCTTGTCCTGCGGGCTCCTGAGAGACGCCTGCCTCAATACCAGTCTCGGCTGCTGCGCCCCCTTCTGTTGCAGTCTTCAGCTCCACACAGAACTCGATGAAGCCGCTCATTAACTCGGCCTGCAAGAAACAAAAATGATCTCGTCTGCATCCCACATAAAAACAAAATCTCTAATCCTCTATATTATTAAACCATCAGAGGAGAGGAGGCACATAAACAGTGATGCTGGCATCCTTGGATTAAAGCCGACTGATTATGATTTAATACCTCTAAGGTTATACAACATCTTTTCACCATCTGGTTCCCAAATCAGTTTTTTCCCCAGCTGAGCTTTCCATGATGTCAGAACACTGGACTCGTCACTTTGTGCCCTAATATACTGAATTAACAAAGCCATACAAAAATAGCCATTTCCCTTAAAAGTTGGATCAGAAAAACTTTCCAATCTAACCTCAGTCTCAGATTTAGGTCTGACCTTTGACTAAGCCGTTACAGAATGTGAATATAATTCAATCTTCAACAATTAATGTCTAACTTCTGTCCTTAACAGGTGTCCTGCAACTGTAGAAACATCTCTTCAACACCTCAAAATCGAATGTATCCAGATACTGCGAACCTAACTCCATTGGAGTCAACCTAGATCAGAAACAATATTTGGAAGGTAAAAGTAGAGCCCAGTCTCAGGGGCTTTACAGCCTCCATCAGGTGTTCTTCCAGGATTGTTCTGTGTTCCTACTCTGCTAAAAGCTTCCAGCACCGCCATGTTTTAAGGTGAGGATGGTTTGATCAGGAAGATCTGCCTTCGTTTTTTCTGACACACAAGCGCCTAAAAGTTTAACTTTGGTCTTATCTGACTGGAATATGTACCCCAGACATGTGCTGTGCTTCCTTATGAAAAGTTTCCTTTCATAAAGGCCAGATTTATAGGACAATAAGGTTTGTCCAAATCTAAGACATTTTATGACAGACAGGGGTAGTCCATTCGGTTTTCCTTGTAAAGAGGCCTTGAAACCTTTCATTTCCACTGTTTTATAATTTGTACTTTGCGTTTATCACATTAAATGACAGCATAACCCTGAAACCTGTGGCTATAATGTGATTATTTTACTAATTCCCCCGTTTTTCTTACTTGTTTTGAATAGATCTTCAGCAGCTTGTTTACAGGAGTGCCATCTTCCTCTCCGTCAAACTCCAGCCACAGGATGTGCGAGTCCCCCTCCTCTTCGGGGTAACTGTGGTCCCATGAAAGCTCGCTGAAACGTAAGCCGAGCAGCACATGCTGCAAGGAAGCATGATCAAAAAGAGAAAGGAGAAAGTAAGTATGTCATTAAAATACTAATTGCTGTCCAGCTTTGCAAAAAGCAACCCCCCCTCACCTTCTCCTTTACATCCATCACATAAACTCCATCCAGGCAGATCCCAACGCTGACAGCTTTGCGTTTCCCCCGCTGGAGGATGCCTTGCACAGGTTTGTCAATCTCCCCACAGAAAAAAGCGCACCTGTCGGCGGATTTAAAGTTTATTACAACATTAAAACAAAATGAAGCCGTTTACTGACAGCATTGGCATACAAACAGCAGCTCTTACCCATAATAAGGCAGAGTGTGACACATGCTGAGGTACTGGTGCAGGAGCTCCCGCTGCTCAGGAGCAGTCGCTCTGGATGTGTTGATCTTTCTGTACTCCTCAGAGAGCTTCTGCTCCAGCTCTGCCTGGCGGCTCGATTTCCCCCGCAGGGTGGAGAAAAAACCACCGCTTCCCACGGCAACGTGAGCCGGCACGAAGGAAGACAACTTCTTTTCCCTGTGCGCATCAGAGGGCAAAGGGAAAATGTAATTCTGCCACTTCATGTGTGATGATTCACTGTTTGTACCCCCAAGTACAAAATCTTGGGTTTTACTTTGCAATGACACGTTCACTATAAGTAAAGTGATCATTTGCTCCAGAGGTGGATCGTAAGGCAAAGATACAGTCAGACTATTTTGATTAGATCATGGTCATTAGAGAAACACAGAAAACATGCAAAATATATATATATTTTTATTAATATTGTCAATTTTACAAACTTGTATCAAGCACAACTAAAATGCTGATGGTTTCCACAAACCGGAACAAAGGAAGTTAATCCAGAAATGGCCATGTTATTAGTATAGCAGTAAACAGGGTTACATAGAAACAGCAACACCATGGCTTTGACTTGTGGTTTTTAAGTCATCCCTTTTTGTGAGTCATGGCTATTTCCAGTGCATTAGAGACATATTAAAAGATGCATCCTTAAAAAGATACATAGATCCAGTTTGTTTGCACAGAGCAATTAGAAGTGGACAAATGTAAAATGCAGGGTAGTGTGGGGACTTTTTAGTGAGCAATTAAGTGATTAATCAGTATATGATTGGTATATTTGCTTGTACCAGTCTGATGCTTAGTCTTTATTTTAGTCTCAAAACTGAAATGAATGTAAACTGAAACTGATATAAAGTTTTTACACTAATGTAACAGAAATGTGGGACATTAGGTGGAATAAAAAGGTAGGGATGCACTGATCCGATATCGGTCCAGATATAAGGGGAAAAAAATAGATTGGTATCAGTGAAAATTGACTCTATATAGGGGCCGATCTATTCATTCTAACTCTATGCTATGCTCTGCCATCATGTGGCAACAACACAACACGGTCATTTTAACTATAACACCACCAACTTAATGTAACAACTCCAGAAGTTTCATAACAAGGAAAATGCTGAGATTATCGGACTCGGCAAACAAAAAGGAAGCAGCGGAAAACAGCTAACTTCACATTTTTCAATGTAACAGTATACAGGCCAAAGAAATCACAGAGATGATACTTGATAAGGATAATTACACTTTTTTTTTTTTCAGAGAACTTTTTGGTTTGATTTTGTGCACAATTGTTAAATAAATTCATTAATTTTACATTTATATTGTTTCCTATTTTTTTAAAGAAAAGGAAGGTCAAATAATATGCACAAAAGAATGATCCCAGTTTTTTTTTGTTTGTTTTTTTCACACAATAAAACCATTTTTTAGCTGATAATTCAGTAGTGTTTTTGGTATGGAGCTTTTAATTTTCAAAGCTAAAGCTTTTCTTAAAAAATTTCAAAATGACCTTACTGCTAAAAAAAGCAATCAGAGTGAATCCGTTCTGACAGTTTGCGTTTCCTTTGGCCATCAGCAAGCCACAATCGCTCAACGTTTAGCAGCACTTTGCTCACTTTTTTCTTCTGATTTCTGAAATTTAGAGAAAACTTCTCTCAACTTTTTGGTTTTGTATTTAAACCAAACAAACTACAACTTTCATGCTTGATGAAGTGGAAAATCGGGATTCACTGTACACTGCAAAAAAAAATTCTAGAAGTAAGTACAAATGTCATAAATTAAATGTATTTACCCTTAATTTGAGTGGTAAAATGAGAGGATTTGCCAACTGAATTAGTATTTTTATTCCTAAAATAAGATAATTAGATAATTTGCATTTGAAATAAGACAATGCAATTGTGTTTTTTTTATTTTAAATGGAAACTGTCTTGTTCCATTGGCAAAGTGTCTCAATTTCCTCCATTCAAAAAACAAAAACAAAAAACACCTCACTTATTTTAAGGAAAAATTACTTATTTAGATTTAAATTTTTTGCAGTGTACTATGACAATGATGAGACAGACCGTTCTTCTTTATACATGAGAGCGTTTCTATAAAATAAAATAAAAGTGAATAATCTATCAAAGAGCATAAAACAACAAGGAAGATAATTTGCTTTATAAATAATATAATGTTCTGTTATTTCATGCTTTGAAATCCTATCGCTCACCTCCAGTCCCAGGGGGAAACTCTTAGGTTTTAAAAACAAAAAAAAGAAGGTCCAGATTTATTAAAAAGGACTGACGAATGGTAAATCGAATGTAAACATCAAATACTTAAAGCAATTGACAGTAGAGCCACAGTCTTCTATTCGCAGATGGGTGGGCTACTTAAGTACCTTACCCTGAGGCACATCGACATGTGGCAGCAGTAAACAAACTTCTCTTCTCTTTCCTTGAGCCAAGGTGTCACAAAGTTTGTGAGATCTGACTAAATTGTGAGATCGGACTAAAAAAGGCTCCAAAGCAGAAACAGAGGGACACTTCAAGCTTATAATCCTCAGTCATTCTGCCACTTTCTACCTTTACAGCTGCTGGAAAACTCAGCAGAATCCCAACCTGAGAGTTCTCAACCTTAAAGCACCGCAAAACAAAAAAGACATAGAACCTACATAGATAATATTTTAATGATGCAGGTGGATGTTCACTGAATGTACCAAAAAGTACCAAGAGCTGCAAAATAAATCTTTTAGGGACAGATTTAATGGAAGTTGGTGCTTAGTTTTACTATATAACTTTGATCCAAACTATCTTTTATGTTGTCATATTTTACAAATGAACCTAAATCAGGTTTAAAGACATAATCCAAAAATCAGAGGACTACTTATCAACTATGGCTCTAAATTTGATATCTACAGATCAAATACAAGAAAAAAACCTCATGCATTGAAGCTAAAAACTTCAACTCTTTGCTCCACGAAGAAAACTATTTAAGACTCTATAAAATGCCTTTAAAAGTAAAATAAATCAGATACAACCGACAGACCCCTGATGCATAAATGAGGTTAATTCTTCATTTTCTGTTAACACACAAGCTTGTGATGAGGTTTGAAAGAAGAAAACTGAAATTGGCCACAAAGTGAACCTGCTGAGCAGATTTCAAGCAGCAGAAAACTGCATTAGCCAGTAGAACCTTAACGGGTCCATAACCAGTGCATAAGAACAGCGTAGAACGACTCGGGCTGCTAGTTAGACTGTTAAACATTAACTCAATCAGATCTCCAGCCTTCAGGCTAAGCTCACTTACCTAATTTTAGCTGTGCTTTGCTGGCTGTCGAGTCCAGCGCCCTCTTCAAGAGCGAGGGTCAAGGCTCCAAGCCCCGCCCAGTGCTCGGGGTCACAGGGGTATCGGCCAGTGAGGATGTTGCTCCTGGCCTCCTCAAAAAGAAGTCTCAACACCCCTTCATCTTCGATCTGTGCAGGAGTTTGACACATCTGTGATGTTGGCGTTCTTTTTTAACACTTTCATACTTCATATAACAAATCAATACACTTTACTCGTAAAGAATCATAAACGCTTTATTGTTGGTTCTACCTGCAGCTCTTTAGATTTGGGGTAAAACACATTTCGTCTGTACTGCAGATACGGCTCGTCTGTGGAAGAGAAACAAAAAACAAAAGATGCGTCAGTGTCTGCTGATTTTAAGGTCATTTAATTTGATTCCAAACGGGACCCATTCATTCAGAGCGCAGCACTGAAGCTACAAATAACCCAATCCACTCAGCAGAGGCTGGCAACCATCAAAAATATATTCATAAGCAGCCATATACTTCCTTTGCTATCCTGCTTCTTTATTTTTATTTTTAGTTTTCACTGTCACTTTTTATCTTTAAGCAAGCCTTTAACATGTGAGCCATTCCACTTTGCTTCCTAAAAAAATGTAAAATAATAACAGCAGGCAGGGTCACCGGGAGATTTTAAAGCTCTGCTAGTGAGGAACACCAATTTTCTGTTGTGAAAACTTTGATTTTGGTTCTGTGTCTCACCAGACTGTGACGTGCTTTATGCAGAGAAAGCTTCTCTAATCCCACAGGAGCTGTTACAGTCTGGTGAACTTGGATAACAAAAACATTGAGGTCTGTGGAGGCCTTTTTATTTAAACTAACTCCTCATAAGTTATCAAAAAAGCTTGAAATTTGACTTCTACCTACAACTATCATTACAAAATGTTTAGATTCATCGAACAAAAAGAAAAAAAAAAGAAGCAGGTACTATGCCTGTCCGTTTGTGACCTTGTTGTGCTTTGTTATTTACTGTTATTTTTTAATGTTTTTAAACCACCATTGGAAGCCAAATTCCACAGATACGGAAATATTATTTCTATTAAACGATTACATAACTTCAAGACCTTTGTGTTATCTAAAATCTCAAATGAAGTTTCAGCAAACAGGACAAAGAAAGCAAGCCGTTACGTTGACAAAATATTCAGCTGATAATATTCATGCCATTCCATGTGAAGACAGAATATGAAGCATAAGACCAGTTTAATGAAATTGTTAAAAAAAACTGAGTCACGTGCAATTTTTACAAGGACAGAATTTTCTTATTCAAAACATAAGCAAATAACAGACAATAAAGCAAAAAATGCTTCCTGTTGCTGCTTATGAGGTTTCCATGGGTGGATTTTGATCGACTCCCTTTTACAGAAACTCTCATGACCTCTTGAGTTTCTTTACTGCTGTTAAGCAACTGGAAACTTCCACTTCCCCCACAGATTTTCTCCTCTAGAATGGCTCAACCACAGCCTGGAATTACTGTGGTTCTTCTTTAGTGTACTGTGGGTCATTAAACCCCTTCTCTCTGCACTAGTTTGTAGAATGTGGTGAAGTCATGGTGCATCCTTAGCAGAAAAGCAATACTTTTCAATCTCTACGCTGGCCTGTAGGGATGGTGCTCTTTAATCTAAATCTCTCCTCCTCCCAAACACAGATGTTTGAGTAAAAGCTGCTGCATCATCTGCTAATCCAAAGCCTCCTCTAAACCATTCAATCGTTCACAGTCAAAACCTGCAGCTTCTGTAACAGAAGGCGTCAAAATGTCGACCGATAGTAGAAAAGTTATGGGGTGAATGTTATGGTGACCGAGCTACCATCAGATCATCAACAAGCTCTTCCTTCGGGCTGATCACCTTACTCATCATCATCCTCAACCAGTGAAATAAAATCATGCTTAAAGGTTTAAGATGACCGCCGTTCTTGGTCCTTTTATATCGCCTCCTTTTCTGAATGATTCCACCCACAATAGCAGTAAACTAGTCACACAGCATTTCACCCGATGATTCTGCAGTTACAGCCGAATCTTCAGCAGATCTACGCCCCCTAAGAGACTTTAGTCTTCCCTGCAGTAACGGAGGATTCTCTGGACATTAGGGTTTATACACAGCACACGTTTTACTGCAGCAATTTCAGTTGTATTCTCCATATTGCTGCATCATTGGAACATTTATTCTTTGATATTTCTAAGTAGGGACTAATATACAGAATGTTGGTTCCACTGGTGCTCATGAAGAGGTATGTGCTCATCAGCGAGGTACGTTTACAGTAAACCCTCGTTTATTGCGGGGGTTACGTTCCAAAAAGAACTCGCGATAGGCGAAATCCGTGAAGTAGACCTTCATTTTTTTTTTTACCTTTATTTTTTTACAGTTATTATACAATGAAATACTCCATAAATCATTGAAATCAAGGAACAAAAACTTTTTACAGGCCCAAGCATTGGTTTAACAAATAAAAGTACTGTATAAATGTTTGTTGTTGTTTCTTTTACAAATAATGCAAAGAGACTGTTTAGCCAATCAGAATGCAGAACACAATGCATGATGCAAATCCGTGAAGCAGCGAGGCCATGAAAAGTGAACCGCGTTATAGCGAGGGTTCCCTGTATATGTTTTACATTCTTTTGTCGTTGTTTTATTGTTAACACTCATTGAAGTTTATGTCGTATTTTAGTTTGACACTGGGGTAAAATCTTCCACAAGGTGGAGATGCAACGATAACAGGAAGGTTAAACAATCCACATTAAAGCTGACTTCATGCCATCTGTAAAGGTTGATCTGTTTAAAGTTTATAGAAAAATCTATTTTTTTTTCCTTTCTCGGGAAGTGCTTTATAAAGTTGCTGCCTCAACTTCCTGCAATTCACTGTAATCATGGATGACAGCCTGCTTACCTTCTGTAAACCCAACCAAACAACAATTTATAAGCTGGGAGGGGAGAGGAAACCACTGCAAAACAAAACCGGCTATAAGCAGCATCTAATAAACAATCTATGTGACTTTAGGGAAACAGATTCAGCCAAGTTCTCATCGTTTTTCTCTTAAAATCCTGTTAAAGAAATTTTATCTAAACTGATTCTTAGCTGCAAAAAAGAAAAAAGAAAAGAAATTTTACATTAAGACTAAACACTAAGACGCTGATTTATGGTGTTATCTGATTTTAAGTATTTTGTAGATAGAAGCAAAGAGAGCCAAACACTGCAGTTAGCCAAGGCTGCATACCGCTAAGCAGCAATGCCAGCTGATGCTCATTCCCACACACATCTGTTTATTTAAGATAAGAAAAACCTTTACTGTCCCACAGTGCGGTATGTCTCAGTTAAACTTTAAACTAATTTATATGTTTTCTCCAGGAAGGTCGTGCATTTGTGAAAAAATAATGGCACTCATAGAAATTATGCAAACTCAGTGTTAAAGGGCCCCACCCCATGAGTATTTTCGTAAAAAGAGCCTTGCTTCAAGGTCCCACCTTGTAAAATGTCGTCTTCTGACGCTTCAGTGAATCGATAGAGCAAATCCGGCCACTGCCGGCACAGTTTGTAAGGCTGATGCCTCGCCTTTAGCTGCAGCTCTGCACAATAGAAAGAAAAAAAAAAGTTTAAAGTTAATTGGGTGAGCTGTATTTCAGTTTAAATAAAAATATAAAATTATCCCCCAAAACGATTAATAAAAACAGGTTCTTGCCGAGCAGCGGAGAGCAGAGCCAAAAGGCAAATGCATCCTGTGCGGAATCGGGAATCTGCAGAGTCTCCCGAACGCTGCGGCCCAACTCCTGCACGGAGATGCTGCCTAGCCCTTCCAAAGTTAAATGTACCGCGCTCTCACCAAACACATACACCAACACATCCTGAGCTGTGGGGAAAAATGCTAAAAGTTATTCACAACACCACACTGAGGACTTTTGTTTTAATTCTAGCTCAATTATTCTCCATGCTGAGTGGTTTGCACCATACCGCGGGAAAGGGTTGCAGAAGAAGCAACGCTTCCTCTTTGCGAATGATCATCTGACAGATCTGAAGGAAAAGTGCAATTGTCACCCTCCATCTTCTATCTGAAACACAGAAAACAAACAGTTACAGGAATTACACAACAGCAGAAGTATAAGCAACATGTACGACAAACATCAATACAAAACAAACACAAAGCCAGGAGAAACAAACTGCAAACCTCTCACATGTTTTTATTTACAACTTAACCTGACTGTGCATAGAGCATTTTAAGCTGTATGGAAATACGGCTCAGAAGGTGGTAGTCTGTCTCAAGCAGATAACTTGTGAAATCACTCGGCATGATGAAGCAATAAAAACAGAACCCCTTTGCTGTTTTGTTATAAATGACAAGCCTCTTTATTGTCAATCCCAAACTTCACTGTTTTTTTATGTGACAGACAGCGAGAAAGATATGGATTGTTTATGAAGTGAAAGGAAAACTTCAGTGTGATACTCCATCCATCTTTTGTCACACTTAATCCCAAGTGGGGTCGCGAGGGGTGCTGGTGCCTATCTCCAGCTGTCTACGGGCGAGAGGTGGGGTATACCCTGGACAGGTCGCCAGTCCATCGCAGGGCAACACAGAGACAAACAAAACAGGACAAACAACTATTAATGCACACACTCACACCTAAGGAGAATTTAGAGAAGCCATTTAACCTCACTGTCACGTTTCTGGACTGTGGAAGGAAGCCGGAGTACTCGGAGAAAACCTGCAAACTCCATGCAGAAAGATCCCGGGCCTTCTTGCTGAAAGGCAGCAGCGCTACCCACTGTTCCACTGAGCAGATATACCATAACAACTTAAACTGGCAGGCAGGGGAGTCCTGGTCAGATATTAATATCAGATAACCACCTGATATTATCTCAAATCTCCAAAAGTGTGAAGCTGATAAGAAAAAAACTCTGCTTCTAGTTAAACTTCCTCTAACCCACTGGTTAATATTACATGGGTCAGTTACTCTCAAACCTTTTGTTCTCAATTTAAGTAATATCGCTTAATGAAGTCTTTCCTAACATGCTACAATATACAATCAGTAATAAAGGGATGTATGATTCATGCTGATATCGTATCAATATCGTTATCGGCTCAATATCCGTATCAGTCAGTTCTCAAACCTGCAACACTGGTACTGCATCGGAAATTAAAAAAGTTGCATCAGGACATGCCTACAAGCAGATAGTTCGTCACAGAAACAACAAAAAAGCTGGAAAGATCCAAGGCTCAGATTGGAGAATGGTCACTGCTGCATTCTTTAGTAACTAAATGGTCTAGGAAAAAATAATAATAATGTGTCCCTGCTTGACTGATTACCTCTGGGATCAATTAATGGAGGTAGATGAGGGTTTCATCCATCCAGTGTTTTCAAGAACTACGCAGTTTTTTAGCAGCAAAAACAAAAGAACAGATAAGAAGGTTAAGAATAAGAGGACAGATAATAATAATAATAATAATAGATGTGCTAGAATAGCTTCCGCCCAGGCGCCATTTGGGTCCCAGACTGGGAATGATCAAAATCCAGGGTCACTGTCAGCCTCAACTTTCCATTCTTGTTTTGTTTATCAGTTCTTCAACTTTTAACGCCTTTTCCAATCAGGAAATGATAAAAAGTCCGACATTTACTAAAGACTCAGGTACAAAATTAGCAAATTCCTGAACCAAAAAGGATTAACAGCCAAACATTTAGAATTATCCATCATCACCATTCAAACATTAGCTTAAGCTAAATAAGAGACATAATGCTAATGATTTAAACATAACTGAAGACTAAACGTTTACTGATTTTAATTAAGTATACATGCTGTGTAATTCAGCAGCCACTTTGACTATTTGAAGACTTATCTCTGGCCCATCAGCTAACTTTCAGCGTGTTTTTGTCTGCAGTCTGTAGCAGAAATGAATAAATATTCCGTTCACCTACCTGTATTATAGTAAATTCACCTCCACTTGCTGCGTCTTCTAGTGACAAAACGATAACTTAAGAAAAATAGCTAAAAACATGAGTCGACAAACACTTGTCTCCTGTGGTATTTCCCTGACAAGGGTTAGCCAGGCGCCTGAAATTAGCTTTCCGGGCAGGGGCTGTTCGCATTAGCTGAATGATTCAACTGTTTTGACCAGCTCTTCCCTTATGCGACGCAAGGTAGGTTCTAAAATGCGTTTAACCCGACTGAGATGGAGGAAACGTTAAACGAAAATTATCTCTTAAAACATATGATAACAATATCCATATTATAACTGCAGTATAACGTCATATGATCTAAATGAACGACATATTTTTAAGAAGGTCGAATGAACTGCATCCCAAAAACAAATCGGAAGTTAAGAAGCGCGCAGTAGTCTCGTCACGTGATGGTCACGTCATCGCATCTGTTATCCACCAGATTATTTTGTTTTTATCCAAGTAAATCTTTGTTGGTTCATATACAAATGAGAGATTACAGCCAAAATGGATTCATGCAACTGCTAAAGAAATTTCAGCAAATCTACATATTATTATTATTATTATTATTATTATTATTATTATTATTATTATTATTATTATTATTATTATTATTATTATTATTAATTTACATATTATTATTATTATCATCATTATTATTATTATTATTATTATTATTATTATTATTATTATTATTATTATTTCATGCTTTATTTGTGTGCAATGTTTTGGCAAAAAAATTCACTTAATAAAAAAGAAGCATTACCAGTTTCTTGAATTGTACCTTAGTTTGTTTTTTAAACAAACTAAATCTTGGAAGGTCATTGGATGAGATGCTTCCTTCACAGATTGACAGTCCATCACATGGTGAAACAGAACGACACGGGAGCAATTCACCGACACACAGAAGCCAATTAACCTCTGAGCTTTGTCACTCAGAGAAAAACTAACGCAATGCAGGTTATAAAAACATGCAAACTCATAATGATATTATAATGATATATTATTAATATCACTGTTAAAACAACTCATAATTTTAAAGTAAAGTAATAATAATAAAGTAATTTCTACTAATCTAAAACTTTTCCATCATTCATCAATCCTCCTTTAGGACTTTGCTTTTTCCCCAATCTGTTAATGCTTTGAACATACTTAATTCTTCACTTGTTTTCTCAACGATATGATTATAATCAATCAATGGCACTCATCAACTACTTTATGTATATTCTCTCCTTTTCTTCTCTCCAACTGTATCACATTGATTTTCTTGTTTGTTGCAATGCACACTATATGATTAAAAAAATTAAAAAAAAAAAACATGCAAACTGATTTTTCAAAACCTGGACCTCTAGCTGTAAAGCAACAGGTTATCATTATTGTTAATAGTAGTCATTAGTGACGTGAAAAAAGAAAACATGCACACACAAATGTGAAATGTAACATTTTACTGTATGTGTCAAAGTGTATGCCATAGTCTTATTTAAATTTGTTTTTCATTTGAATATTAAAAAGAATAAAGCCTACTCTCAGTTTACAGTGCCTGTTACATTCACCTGACACAGGTGAGTAAATGCAGAGGGCAGCAAGAGGCGGATTACATCTGTTAATGGGTTTAGGAGCTCTAAGAAAGGTGTCAGAAAAGGGGACACACTTGATGGCTTTAACTGCATTACTGACGCCGCTTAATCAATCTTCTTATCCAAGTCCTTCATGGAAGAGGAGAAGCAAGGGCAGAGAAACAGGCTTGTGGATTCACCATAGAGAGAAATATATGATGTTATTTGCATGTGCTTGATTTGTTTGTGAGTAAAAAGGAAAGGGGACGCCACTCCATAAGGCATTTAGTAACTTCAAACTTTAATAAGTCATCTGGTAGTTTATGTCAAAGTCCTGTTATGCAGCGGAGCATTGCGTCTCTTGTCTTTCTACAGCTTTATCCTTTTTTTTTTATTAGGTCCAAAAATCATTTGTGTACACTGCCTTATCAAATACTGCTTTATCGCTGTTTTTATTGCCTTTGACAGGAAACAAGGGTTGTAAAAATGCAAAAAAAGGTGATGCAGATTAGTTTCAAAAGCAACACTCAAATACAGTCCAACAATGATGGGTGACATGTATAGTTAGTAACAAGCAAAATAAAAAGGAATTTATAAAATTTGTTTATTTTGCAAAATGTTAATCCCATTAATTGTTTGAAACGATCTGTTCATTGTAACTTTTGTGCTTCTTTCATTTGTAGTGAAAACCCCAGCATGGATTTTAATTTGAACTCCCCCGCTGAATATTCATTGTAAACTGACAATTAAAAAAATACTATGTCTATTTTGTGACATTCAAAGAAATGTGATAGTTGAAATCTCTTTTTCAAATTAAAATAAATTGTCTTATCATTCTGTAAAAATTATTTACATATGAATGCATGTGTGTGGTTTAGGTGGTTGCGGGGGTCTCTCCAGTCGTGCCTTCTTCAACCTGGTTTTTGAGCAACAGGAATGTCAGCACGGGGTCGAGGTACTCCATGATGGTTTCCTTCACTCCCTTCTCAAGCAGGTACCCTTCCGTTTCAATCTCTGTGTTCTCCTCCCCTGCAACTGCTTCCATGGAGGTCTGCAGGAAGCGAAGGCTCACCAGCACTGAGCCCTTAGGAAAGAAATAGAGGAAGTGATTAAATATTGCCAATTTTAATTCTTGTTAAAGCCCCTGTCACACTTTGACAATTTTGCTAGCATATGCCGTAAACGTACAAAAAATTTGGCAAAAATGCTGGCCTACGTTGGATAAGTTATGGGTACATTTTGTATAAGTTATGAGCCTATGAAGTACGCTGAAGCATGCGTACGACATACGGCAAGTACGCCAAGAAATTATGAGAATGCTCAATATTTCTGACGAATGCCAACGTATGCTCATACCTTCGTAGGCCATAAGTTACAGGTAAATTACCTGATCGTTGACATTCCTTAACTGTAAGTTACTCATAAGTCGTGGCGTGTAGCTTATCCAAATTCTATGACTAACTTGTGGATAACTTATTAATAACTTACCTCCAACGCATATCAACGTATTTGACGTACTTGACGCCATTATATCCAACTGTATAACGGCGTATTGGCCGCATTTTGGACGGCCAGGACCAACAAACTTCCTAGCAGACATGATGCTGAATCTGCTGCAAATGCAAACCCTCTTTCCTTCTTTTTTTTTTCTTTTTATTTATTTATTTAATACAGGTTAATACCGCGATCAAAGACATCTTTTTATGCAGGCAGGGCGCCTCCGGGCGCATTGCTGCCCCCCTCAGGAAACTAGCTTGTGACATTTCATGGGCATTAAGCTGATGTGCCTTATGCATAAGTTAGGCTGTCGTTGGACATATGCTTTGGTCTCGCTATGCATCATCTATGTATACGCATAAAATAAAAAAAAAAATAGAAAGTTCAGCGTATGCAAGCATTTTAGAAGATTCTGGGACGTCATGCATACGCTGGTTAAATCGTCAAGGTGTGACAGGGGCTTAAACAGCTATCAGAAAGCCTTTGGTTAACTTCTTTCTGTTCCATGAATCAATGTTTGACAATAATCTCATGGAAACACCAGAAAGTCTGTCTGCATTTAGACTTTTCTGTGAGTTTACCTGCAGTAGGAAGACTGACAAAACTCCAACCCCAATAGTGTTCATCAAGCCCATGTAGTAGTTGACCAGGGCCTCTCTGCAGCCTCTAAGATAGATGTTGAGCTCCTCTGTTTGGTAGTCATAGTTGTAGTGCGCTGAGTTGTTGGTCAGGTGATATTGGATGCATGGTCGTGGAGAGCTGGGGTTACAGCAGCTGAATGGGACTCCATCCACCAGGTAACGTCCGTCTACGTTGCTCTTGATTCGGCTAAGGGAAGAAGTAAGAAGTTACTGATTTACGAGCTTTACTCTATTAATATACCTTAATGTGGAGCCCAGTTGGTTATATTTACTTACTCTTTCACTTCCTTGGAGCTGAAATCAAGGTAGCGGTTGCTGATCCACTGGACCTCAAACCAATCCCTGAAGTCGTTGTTTCCACAGCACTGGAACTCCATCTGCAGACGGTCAATGTTCTGCTTCTGGAAACAGCGGCCCGGGGTGTCGGTGTCCTTATAGAAGCGGATACCATTCCTTAGACCAGCTTTCAGGGAAGACTCCAGGCTGCCCTTCATAGCGTAGCTCATAATTACGGCCAGCAGCATGAGGACGGTGAAGAAGCATGAGACGGCAAAGTAGGGCTTCAGGAAGTTCTTCCAGCGAGGGAATCGCCCTGCGTCCAAAGCGTCCTGACAGATCTTTGAGGCAAAGTAGTTGATGCCCAAGGAAGCCAGGCCAACAATCATGAGGGTGTTGGGCACGATATGTATGTCTGAGTTATCCATAACCTACAAGTCAGCCATAAAAAGGACAGAAAATTTGAATCACATTGATTAAGTCTCTTTGATTGTTAACATTGTGTAACAAAATGTTCTCGTTCAATCATTGAAAAATATATGTAATATATATATATATATATATATATATATATATATATATATATATATATATATATATATATATATATATATGAAAATATGCTGCTGCTTGTTTGTTTTCACAAAGAGATAAAACACAACAATATGAACGTTGTGCCTAAAGTCTTGTTGTCTGTCATTTATGTAGTTCAGTAGAGCCAAGAAAAGAATAAGAGTTAGCAGATGTGTTTTTTATGGTATTCCTTCTTACCAATAGGAAAAACATTTCCAATGAGCCAACTTTGAACTTTCTCTGTGTGGTTTATTGACAAAGAGGTCAAATTTCAAATTTTAAAATAAGGCTTTATCAAGCATGAATCAAAATTGATAATGTCTAAATTTGTTTAAGTTATACTGTATATTCAAACAGAAAGTAAAATGTACAATTATCTTTTTATTCTGTGCAAAATGTTCATATAAATCTGAGATCATAACTTATTGTACTGGGACCTTAAAGTTGCATTTTTCCTGGCATCAGTGTTTTAGGGAATTTCCCAATAAACATCAATTGACCTCTAGGTGGTGCTGCTGAAATCATTGGGGAATGTTGCTTTATTTAAGCCATAGGATGTTTGGGCTCCAAAATTATTAAACATGTTAAATGATGTTTGGTTTGAACAAAGCTTTAAAGCTTTGAGGAGGTCTAAAAACAACAGGGATATAAATATTCTTATTGTTGCTCCCAACCTTAACTTTTCTCAAAGATTAATCAAAACTTTGTTTAAGCTTAGTACCAAATGTAGTTTTGTAATAGCTAAATATAAACAACATGCCATGAACAATCTGTTTAATGCTAAGCTAAGGTTCTTGACCTAGTGTTACTGTCAACAATGCAGTCCCACAACATGATGCTGCCACTACCATACCTGTCTATTTGTATAGTGCTCTTCACTTTGACTCATCTAAACATTCTTAGACTCAATGTAGCAGCTCAATCTTTGTCTTATCAGACCAGTAGAAGAACATTAAAATGATAAATCATTCCTTATTGATATATGGTGTACATTTTTGGAAATGAATAGTAAGTTTTGATATCAGTAAATATTTTATGTTGAATCAAGAAAACTCTGAATAATATGAAAGGACACTGGTTTATCAAAAGCAGAAATGAAAGCCTCCAGAATTAAGGATTAGTTTGATTGAGACTGACAGATCCTGAATTATAAAAAGATGAGTCAGGATCTAAGTGGGTCACAGCACAGTAAACCTTTATCGATTGAAAGTTAATGATGCTTTTCTTTTTATTATATTAATCAGTTTGTCAATAACCAAAAAGAAAAAATGACCATAAATCATAGTGACAGTTGTCAGAAGTATGGGTGCTTTGCTTATGGATATAATTTACTGAGGACAATTATCCTACAGCATCTAAAATAGTGTAAATAAATGTTTGGTTTCATTCCTGCATGAAGTTCAAGATAATTAGTTGAGGTTATTTTCATTTTTAAAAAGAATTGGATTTTTGCTTGATTCCAGCGATTAAAGCTCTGAATTCATTGATTTTATTTCTAAAAATCATAAGCAAAACAACTAAGATACTAGATCATATATTATAACAAGGATTAAAAAGACATGTACCTCTGATCTCCTGCGGAGCTCCGTTTTTAAGAGGCATCCCAGGGAGAAGGTTGTGGCCCCGGCGACTGTGGCACACCAGGATAGGAGCCACAGTCCCTGGGCCAGCTTCACCCGTTTCTGAAAGGGGAACTTCATCTTCATGACCACCATGGTTGCAGTGTGGGAATCCGAGTCTTACCGGGGGAAGAGGGGAAGGAGAGCGATGAGCCAATGAGACCCGATGCTGCGCTTAGTCTGCCAGAAAAGAGCAGAGTTTAGAGTGAGACCTCCAAAAAATAAAAAAGAATGCAACAAAACAGAACTGTATCTCCAAACTATAATGGAAGCAGCTTGGTGAGTAAAATTGAAAAATGTGAAAAATATATTTGAAAGCAAAATACAAAAAAAGTTTGTTGGACATTCTTAATTAAAGCTTTTTAAGCTGACATCTCCAGTGATGTGTCCAAATAAACAGGACTGAATGCACCCAAGTTCACCTTTTTAGTTTCCACAAACCGCCCTGAAAAAGTCCAGTTCTCCACCGACCACTGTACGCCAACCTGTGTGCCACACAGTGGATTTGGCACACTGGATTTGGCAAACATGGATGGTGGGAGCGTCTTACTGCTAATGCTTACCTATCCTATTAAAGCGGTCTGCAGATCCAGGCCAATGTCTGCTCAGCACACATTACTCACTTAGACGTAAATGACAAGCCTTATTGAATCTGACAGGAAGGTATTGGATATTATTAATATCACATTTATTATTTTAAAAATGCTGAAGCTTAGAATACAGCTTTAAATACCTATATGCAATACATTGTGATAAATATAAGACTACAAGACAAAAAATCTGAAATATCAAAAAGAAGTTTTTCTTTTAGATGAATTTGTACATTTTATTATTATTATTTTTACTGCTTAACATTTTCAGATATTTTAGGTTGCAGAAAGCTTGAAGGGTAGAATTTATTTTTCCATCGTACTTACTTCCGCAAAGATGAGATACTCCTGCTGCCATGGCCGAGGGGAATGTGAAGAAGCAGAGTCTTAGGACTGATTATCTTCAAATGCTAACGAGGACTTTAGAGGGACAAATATAACTCACAGGGCAGGATAAAGAGGCTCATAACAGTTCCTACAAAGCACTACCCTTAGACATGCACAGAACATTTACAGAAATAAAACGTTCAGAAAACTCAAACAGCTTTTGGTAAAATTTATTTAGCATGGGTATAATAGTTATATGTCATACATCCATTGATTTGAAGTCATTTTAACAGATTAAAATGTAAACATGCACTATCACTGGTATTTTATTGGCTTCGTTGCAATCAATTAACTTTAACAATAACCGTTTTAAAGATTGTCCATTAATATGTAATGTAGTTAGAGGCAAGGATAATAACTGCTTTATCCAGTCCAAACCCAGTTTGGATTTTTTTTAGGATCATTGTGCTGTTGGAGAATGCATTCCTATAGTCTTAGTTTAATATGCTTGTACCACAAGCAGAAAAAAAAAATGCTACCTCCATCTTGCTTTAAGTTCTCCAATGAAAATACTTGACTCATCTAGACAAAACGTGTTGTTATTATTGCAGTGTCAAATTTTGATCTTTTCAATTCCGTTTCAATCCTGCAATCTCAAACATTTTCCAGTACCTGGCTGGTTTGATCTATGGTGATTTCTGGGTTCCTCCAGAACTCCAGACTTTCTATGCCACTGGTGCTTGGAAAAAAAAATAACCCAAGCTGTACATTTATATTATATTTGCATCCAGAAAAAGAAGTATTTGAATAAATCATTAAAAGCCCCAAACTAATATTACATATCTACATCTATGATAAATATATGTACATTTCTCTGTATAGAGACAATTTATTATTGGTTTAACTTTTCAATTTCAGTAGTCAGCTTCAGTGAATTTACACATTGCAAAAAAGTCAACTACAATCGTTATTTTAATCATAGAATGAACAGTTTTAATGCATAATTACTTTGGGTTTAACTATTTATTTTGCTATAACACAAAATTTAAAATTAATACATGAAAAAAAAATACTAACAATATGGGGTTTGGTGAAAATAATTTCTACCATGTAAACCACAGGCCTAGGGCAGTGCTTCCCGACCTCTTTTGACTTGTGCACCCCTTTGGACATTTTGTCTTATCATGAGTAGCCCTCTAAGTCAAAAGTATTGATGATTGTCCAAAAGGGGAATGTACGATAACTGATTATAAAATAGAAAATATTTTACCAATTTTTTTTTTATTTGAGCATTTAATTCTTAGATATTTTATTCTTTCCATCTCAAATAAATTTCCGTAAAAGTTCAAAAAATCCACTGGACTTGGTTTCCAAGATTTGAAGACGTTTCGCCACCTCTCCAGGAAGCTTTCTCAATTAAAATGTCTGGATCCGCAGTGAGTTTGAGTCTTTATATAGGTCACTGTGGATCCAGACATTTTAATTGAGAAAGCTTCCTGGAGAGGTGGCGAAACGTCTTCAAATCTTGAAAACCAAGTCCAGTGGATTTTTTTGAACTTTTACGGAATGACTATGACCTGGATGACTGAGAATCTTCATCAGCATATATCAAATAAAAAAACAAACAAAATAAATATGTTACATGCAAGCTGGTAGGGAATCAAGATAAATACAAAATAAAATCAGATTATAAACCTGTATCTTTGAAACTCCTCTGAGTAACTCCCCTATAATCACATCTAAACTTGATAAACAGTAGGAAATCAGTGTGAAAAACAGCCAGGATATTCTCTACATCCAGTCTGTTCCTCTGTTTGATTTGGATGTGTGACGCTGAAGGTGAACTGAAAGAAAACCTTATTTTTTGGTTGATAAAAATAGGTAAATTTTTCAATTGGGTCCTCACATTGCTAAAAAGAGCCCAGTCCTATTTTGTTTTACTCCCAAAGAAGTGAAATATTTTTATGTACCCCTTGCAATGCACTCATGGACCACTAGGCCTGTTGGGAATCACTGGCTTAGGGTATAATCACTTTACTCTCTAGGTACCTCAGGTGATTGTCCTGAGATATTCTGACATTATTTCAAAGACCCTCTCCTTTTCAATCCTGTCAAATATTGCATGTGAAGCATCTTTTTACATATCCCTCAGAATGTTAGAATGTTCCTATCGTTTTGAGGACAATAGTTTAAGTCAAGTAACAAGAAAAAGAAATTAAGAATAATTTGTTCTCTGTAATGCTTTGGTATGGAATCAGTCTTACCAAAGCTAATATGATTCATTTGAAAGCTCGCTTCTTGACCTACCTCACAATCTTCCCATGCTGTCAAACAGCCCAAGTAAAGCTCTCATCTGTAATTATGTGAAAGCCACACATAGGTTGTATAAGTATATGTAGTGGAGAAAATAGAAAAATAAATTGAAACACCAAAACAGTAATTAAACAGTGTGATGAATGAAACTGGTGTATTTGTTTTAGGAAGTAAAATCCTTTATTATTTCTCAAAGAAATTTATGGAAGGTTAACAGCTAAAAAAACAAAACAATAAATTGCCATTTGGTTTTTAAATGTGCTTACCCAATAAAAATATTATGGACTTCATTTATCAATTCTAAGTTATCATTCTTCTCATCTGTGTTACTGTATACTACCAATGTTTTCTTGTCTGTAATTAAGCGATTACAGAATTAGCTTAACTGATAAAGATCATATGAACAAACCAGGAATTTAATTTGTTGTATGTGCTCATAGTATACATACATATTTACAAAAGCAGTACTAAACCCCTCATATCTACTCTAATATGGTGGCATCATGTAAACTAATATCTAACAGCTGTAGCTTCCTCTTTCCCATTAGATCAGCTTGTTAGTTTGACTTTAACATTTTATTAATTGAGATTCTAGGTTAAATTCTTGCTGATCACAGCTTATTGTTGTTTACTTTTAGAGCATATTATGATACATATTAAAACTCATAAACCTAACCAGTCCCTACAGAAGATTTCACATGTTTAATTAAGCTTAAATTAAGCTTAAACTACATTCTAGGTGAATTTAACACAATAAACCAAATAATACAGCTAATATCAACACTGAACCATTACTGAAGATTACAATTACAAAGAATATATTTAAACAATTAAACAATTAAAGATTTTAATAGCTAATAATTGTTACATAGCAAAGCTATTGCATATATTTAGAAAACTAAGAGTTAATCCTCTAAGATCCATGCTATCTATAAAAAGATTAAAAAAAGAAATGTAATACTAAGTGGCTTTATTAGATACATTATTGACATAGTTACATGTTGTTATTCAGTGTTTTTTTTCAGGTTAAGGTGTTTCTGTCAACAAGGCTACTCAATCTATTATCAGCATATAGAGTTTACCGCATAAGAATAAACAACATTCAAAAAGTTACAACCAGGTTACATAAGGAAAGAAATACTAGAAATAAATACCTAACAACATTAAGTCTACAATACAGCATAGAGAAAACAAAAGTGAAGCAAATATATCTAAACATTTGAAATTTCCACAAAATATTTTACCACTAAATAAAGGAGGGACTAACATGTTTCAATATTTACCATTTTCTTTATCTAAACCTGCAATACTGTCAGCAATTAATTTTTGCATTTCTTAAATGAGTAATCTAATGTAAAAAAAAAACACATTTAAGGCTAAACTGTAATTAATATGTTACCAAAAGAAGAGGATAAAAGGGAATGATTTGCTTTACTGTTTGGAAGAGGAATGCTATCTATGAATTATCATGAAAACAGATTTATGTATTTTTAGATGTTAACTGACAGAACTGGCTTGTTATTTACAGCTGATCATAAAATATCTGTTATGATTCAGCAACTCAATCTTTAGTCGATTATTTCTTTTTTTTTTTTAACAGTGTTCAGTCAGAGCTGTGTTCGTTCCCCTTTCAGAACTTCCTCTGAAATCCCTCCTGTCCAACCAAGCTTCTCAACACAGCCCGGCTCCCTTCCTTCACTCGGCGGGGTGTCGTATATGAAGTGATTAAGCAGCTGCTCTGCTGACTCCAGGCAGGCTAAGCTGCCGTCTGCCTTCGGTCCTCCACTCTTCGTCAGCCTTCTGATAACTGTGTCCCTATCATTGCTTATTCTCCAGTGATGAATGATCTGATTATCGAGATCCTCG